TGGGTGGGGAGAGGAGGGCATCAGCCTCCTATTCCAAAAATATAGCAAAAAAATATCCAGACTGTTGGCGGGTAATCAATAACCACATAGTAGTAAGATCACCCCCAGCAGCCAGTTAAATTGTTGTACCATCCATAAACCTCCAACCTATTATATTGTATACCTTTAAATAGTGGGCTAACATATCACCTATTTTACCCTTTCTAGTGTTTAAATGACTGAAAAATAGTTAATAAATACTTCAAGTGCTCCTATCTATATATTAACATGTATCTTATTATCTTTTATAGTAATTTACATCGGCTTGTGGTCATCTAAGCTAGCCTAGTCATCTATTTCAACTATTTCACCTCTTCTTTACTTTTTCCCCTACTGTTGCTTAATTGTGCTCCAATTGTGTGTTCTTACCCCTTAATTGTATCAAACTGTATCAAATTTGTTATCCTCGTTTATTTATTAGTGAGATATACGATTTAACCCTCTGTTTTTGTGGGGCCTGAAAGCCATACATGAAGTATTGCATATATACTATTACCATTCACTTAAATTTCACGTTATCTTGTGGTCATCTAAACTAACAAAGTCAGCTATATCGGCTACTTTTACCTCTTCTTCCCTTACTTCTTTATTCATTCCCCTTCTGTTATTTAATTTAATTAAATTCCCAATTGTGAGATCTTTCCCCTTAAAACTTGACTACATTCTGTGTATATATGTTTTAATTATTAGTGGGAGATATGTTTTAACCCTAAGCTTTCATAATGCTTAAGAGCCCTTCAATATAAAAAGAGGACAACATAATTAATATGTGGTATAATAATGAAAGGAGAAGAGAAAAAAAGAAAATAACCCACTAAGTCAACCTTCTCCCTCAGCCCTCTCCATCATGCTGATAACTGCTGCCCTCTAGTGCCTTCTGTCACGAATGCACCCTACTCCAAGAGTGTGTGTGACGTAGTTGTGGTGGTGAAAGGGTTAAAGTACACTATTTATCTGCAATAGACCAGAAATAATGTCAAAATCCCCCTTTTTAACACCACCCACACTTAAACATAATAAGATAACTATTACTATTTTAATGCTGCCACCCCAAAGACAATTTATAAATGGGGTGCCTTGGTCGCTCAGGTAAATCAATAATAAAACCCACCAAATATTACTTAGCACAATATTTAAAGAATTGCAAAAATACTAGTTAGTCTCTTCAGGTAACGTGATTTTTAACCAAAGGCAGAATTTAATAAATTAATGTTTATTATGAGCAAAAATAGTCACAGTGCATATAACAATATATGATAAACAAATAATTTACACAAACAACAGATAAAAACAAAAAGGATAAAATACAAAAGTCCTAATTACTCACTTAGGTTTTCAAAGTACAACTTCTGTCCAGGGGGTCTCTGGCAAGGAAAGATGGTGACTCACTTAGAATTAGATGCTGACACCCAAGCAAGTACACCAGCACCCTTCAGGATCATTAGACATATACCCTGTGGATTACCACGCCTCACCCAGAGGTGGAGTTAAGGTGTATCTATAGAAATACTAAGTGTATCTATCTTTGTGTCCAGACCCACATCAATCCAAATGGAAACCTTTGGTTCTATCTTCTCTTATGTACCTGCCACAGAAATAACAATTGCATCTACAAATTTGTTATTATTTTCCCATTCTATAGACATGTTGCACGCCCCACCCACGATCCAATAGGACAGACATCACAATTCCTTCCCCTATGGTCAAGTTAGGCCACTCATGTTTGGACTTGGTTAGAAGATGGTGCTGGTCACATTCCAAATATAACAAAAATTAGGCTTTATTATTATTCTGTGGGGTAAATATGAATGTTTTTGTCCTTCCTTTGTATATGATACTGGAACAAAGCTAATGGCATTTACATATCAAAGACATGTACTCATCACTTACAAGGTACATGCCAAATGGATGAAGAGATAGTCAGACTTTTTCCAAGTGTAGAACCTCACACCTTGCAGAGCCTTGATTACTTCACATCCATAAAGTAAAATCCTTTTCACATTGCTATGCCATTCATACTAACCCTTCTGTCATTTGACCTCTGTTGGGGTCCCAGCTTCAAAAGATGTAACTCCTTTTGACCTCAACAATACCATCTCTGTAATTTGTGCCATTTACTACCCAAATTACATTAAAGGATAATATTCCATAGTGTAATAATAAATTATGCACCCTTGCCGTGACACCTTCTTCTAGATCATTTGAACTTGCTTCTTTAAAATCCTTTAAGGATTTGTTCCACCAATCCTGTGCTTGATTTGCCGAATTAAATATCCAATTTCTTCCTTCATATATCAATATGAATTTTGTCGGGAATCCCCATTGGTACTTGGAGAGTTGTATTGATGATTATTGTAATAGAAACATCTTTAGGAAATTGAATGTGCAGTTCGATCTTGATGTGATGTAAATTGCTGCCTAGTTCTATGGTGATACACCCCAAATAGGTAATATGTTAACAGCTTTTATTTTGCCGATATCTGTATGGTTATTCCGTGACTCACAGTCTTTGAGCACAGATTCAATGTGCTGTCAGGATTACAGTTGATCCAGCATGCAGAATAGTATCACACCTAGGACTGAGTGTAACGTCTAACCGGACCTTAGATTGGCCGGACTTGACGTACCCAAGAATAGTCAATATATTAGCTGAGGTCAGGGACACAGAACGAAACACAGCAATAAGGAAAAGCCAATAGTCAAGGATACCAGAAGTCAGGGAAGTCAAAATGAAGCCAAAGTCAATAACCAGAAACACACGATCAGGAACACGCTCTCCGATAACCATCTAATGGAAACCACGACAGGGCAGTGAGAAAAAGTAAAAATGAGTTTAAATAACCCTCCTACAGATCCGTAACTGGCCTTTGACCCCATAAAATGCGTGCGCATCTTTTGCGTGATGTTAACATCGCCAGTATCGTGGGCGGATGTGGGGCTATAATATGGCGTGGATCCGCAGTGGCCGGCGTCCACCGACATGCTGCAGAAGTCAGGTATACTGGCGCAGGGCTGCTGAGCGGCACTTCCATTATTGACAGGAAGGCAATTTCTACCGCAGATGCCATAGAAATTTTCATACGCAATTTCTACCGCAGATGAATATGGGATATGTACCTGATAATTAGGCAGTTTAGAAAGATAATCACAAAGCCAATGGTGACAGACACCATAGCCAACAATAAGAATTCATTGCATATTAGTGTTCTGTTAAATTGAAATTAATGAGCTTCCTTCGTGGAAAAAACAAAAGTATATTCCAGATTACTATAATAAAGCATCTTTAATGGAACGGCCAATAACTGGGCTGAATAGTGGTACCAACAGTTGGGCTAATTGGTACTGCCAGCAATAAGGTCTTTGTATTATACGGTCTTAAAACTAATAACCCGAACAAAACTATAAATCAGGTTCCATAATTTATATGGAGCCCGTTCTGCTTGCAAATTGATCGTGATAATGAGCCAATGGCTCTATATATAATGCTTGGATGACTCTTCTTCTAGGGCATGAAACTAATGTTCTGAGTGGTAGTGTTTATATCCTAACTGGACGATTATAGAAAGGAGACTCAAACAGCCTTTTAGGGATGGATAAACAATTACATTGTTATTCCAACAGCTACATTAGACTTTGTTTTTTGTTATTTTTGTTTCATCTCCCTCTTTTTCCACTATAGGATATTATCCAACTTAAGCAACTGACTTAGTACTTTTGCATCGGTTGAGAGATGTTATTCATAGATATTTGACCAATTATCTTTTTCTTTTTTGTTTCAAGTTTTAATTTAATTTAATTTTTCTTCATATATACAGTGAATTTTTTTGTATTTTTAAGTGTACATTATTGTAATATTAGATATACCCTTGTACATTTTGGTTCTTTTTATATTGAATTTAATAATGGTTATGTTTTATTTATATTTGTATGTGGTGCTTTCTATCCTGGAAATGTTAGGCTTGTGAGGTGGACTCAGGGAATAAAAATGCACCTAGGTGTGGATCTCAGATAAAATATTATAATTAACACCAACCTTGCAAAGAGCCATGGATTCCATATCATGTACTCAAAGCACAAAACCAAAAACGAAAACAAGAAAATGATCATTTTGAATCCAAAAGGGTATTTTTGAAAAACAAATCGATTTATTAAAAATCGAACTGGAACAAATTAATTAAACATTAGTACACCAAGTTAAAAAGGAAGTTGCAGGGAGTTGCAGAAACTATTTTGTTATCATTGTAATTTCATTCTAACTGTATTTTGATATTAATATATAGATATTGGTAACAAAATATACTTAGAATGACATTCTATATTTATCTATCTTTATATGAATAAATACAAATAATTGCGTATATATATATATATATATATATATATATATATATTTACATAAGTACACAGGTAGAATTTCTATCTATATATGTGTGTGTGTGTGTGTGTGTGTGTATGTGTGTGTGTACTTATATAATTATATTAATTAAAATTTGAGGGACGTGCCTGACAACCCAGGCAGAAAGTCCAGAGAATTTAATTCCTAAGCACTATATTTACCTCTTTCATTTTCAAAGACACCGTAAAACCTGTATATGGGGGGTACTGTTTTACTCAGGACCCTTTGCTGAATACAATTATTAGTGTTTCAAACTGGTGAATTGTATTACGGTGATGATATTGTCAGTGAAAGTTACTTTTTTTTGCATTTTTCACACACAAACAACACTTAAACTGATGATAATATTGTTTTAATAAATTTTACTGTTTTGAACCTCAAATATTTGTGTTCAGTAAAGTCTCCTGCGTATAACATTACCCCCCATGTACAAGTTTTATGAGATCTTGGGAAGTTAGAGAATCAAATATAAGGCTTGCATTTCAGTTTTTTCCATTAACATTTTTCAGATGGTAATGTTGCATTTGAGACTGTATGGTAGTCCAGAAACGTTAATTACCTTCATGATGGCATACCATTTACAAAAGTAGACAACCAAAGGTATTGCAAGTGGGGTATGTCCAGTCATTTTTAGTAACCACTTAGTCACAAACACTGGCCAAACTTAGCGTTTGTTTTTTGAATTTTTACACAAAAACAAATGTGAGCGCTATCTTTGACCAGTGTTTGTAATTAAGTGGCTACTAAAAAAATGGGCATACCCCATATTGAATACCATTGGTTCTCTAGTTTTGCAAATCATATGTAATCATAGGGGTAATTTTCATTCCTGAGCTACCATATGAAGGGCTGCCATCAGGGGGTATACCCCATATTGAATACCATTGGTTCTCTAGTTTTGCAAATCATATGTAATCATAGGGGTAATTTTCATTCCTGAGCTACCATATGAAGGGCTGCCATCAGGGGGTGACAACCATAACGGTTGTCATGGGCCCGGCGGTTCTAGGGGGGCCCGGACTGCTTTGGCAGTCCAGGGCCCCACAATTACTCTCTGCACATATATATAGCGATGATCGCTATATATATGTGCAGTGCAGGTGCAGCCGCGGGCCCCCGACTCTCTGTATTTGCAGAGGGGGCCCAGCGGACTGCAGGAGCACTTTACAGCTCTTCCTCTCTCTAACTCTCGTGAGACGTGCGGCCGTTAGAGCATTGCCACGGGTTACCATGGCAACGCTCCGCGCAGCGTGCACACCACATCTCGCGGGAGTTAGAGACAGGGAAAAGCTGTAACATGCTGCTGCAGTCCGCTGGGCCCCCTCTGCAAATACAGAGAGCCGGGGGCCCCACCATGCCACCGGACCACCAGGGATCATGGAATCGTCCCCCTCCCTGGTAAGAAACAGGGAGGGGGGAATAACTTTTATTACATTTCATGCATACACTAGTAAACACACACACACTGCATTCACTACACTAACACACACACTGCATTCACTACTGTAACACACACTCTGCATTCATTACACGGACACACACTCTGCATTCATTACACACTAACACACACACTGCATTCACTACAATAACACACACACTGCATTCACTATACTAACGCACACACTGTATTCATTACACACTAACACACACTCTGCATTCACTGCACTAACACACACTCTGCATGCACTACACTGACACACTCTGCATTCATTACACTAACACACACTGCATTCACTACACTAACACACACTCTGCATTCACTACACTAACACACACTGTGCATTCACTACACCGACACACACTCTGCATCCACTACACCGACACACACTCTGCATTCACTGCACTGACACACACTCTGCATCCACTCCACTGACACACACTCTGCATCCACTCCACTGACACACGCCCAGACCTTGTGCTTTGTCAGAGGCCCCAAAATTTCTGGTAGTGGCCCTGGATATGGTCTCAAAGG